TCTCAAGGCGATTCTACTGCGTTCATCTGAAATTGCAGAATACAGCACAGTAAAATCACTACTTAATACCACTCTGGAATAAAGATCACCCCTGCATTAAGACCAATTTTTAAAAGAACGGAATTTTCTGTTCTTTATGTTAATGGTATCAAGATCCACAATTAAGACCACTACACTTATCCACTTTTAAGACCGCCAGTTTCACTTCCAATTCATTGTTTTATTTATCTGTCACCACTATTGAGATTACTGATATTCCAGTCAGTACCTATTCAGATCACCAGTTTATTTTATTTATCTGCTTGAATTCTCTAAAGCATGACACTTTGATGAAACAATGTGTTTCAACTGTTATGATTAGAAAATTGAATGAAGGTAAGAAAATAAACTTCAGAGTGATTTAATGCTATTTTCTGCAATTTTATTTTGTGAAAAAATATTTCTTTAATTAATAGGTGAATTATAATCAGTTTATAGTAATATAAAAAATTATGAAGGATATAATATAATTGTTTTAACATGTTTACACATAAAATTCAAATAGAGTGGTCATGAAATATATGCTTTGATAATTATATCTATATCCATAATTAGGACCATCCGCAATTAAGATCACTGTGACTTTAGTCCATTCCTTTTTGTGGGGTTCCACTGTATATATAAAACGTGTTTGCAAGTAAATTTCCTTTTAATCATGGATGATGAACGGCAGCAAGAATGTAGTTGTAGCAGGTTCACGACTATTCAGAATCAGTTAACGCTGGTATACGAAGCATGATTTAAGCGCAGTGTGAACGCCGCGAGAGCGCCGTGTAAGCGCTGTGAAAGCGCAGTGGAAGCGCTGTGAAAGCGCAGTAGAAGCGCATAAAACGCAGAAGAAGCGCAGTCCGAACGCAGACAATCGCCAATTAGAACGCCGTAGGAACGCGTTTTAACGCTGTTGAAGCTCTGTAGCAACGCCATGATCGCCCTAAAGACGCCGTGAAGTCTCCATGTCATCAAAAATATCAGATTTTTCTTGCGATGTCGCGGCGCTTTGCTAAATTTAACAACGCCGTGCAAACGCAGTAAAAGCGCAGTCTAGTGTGATAGGGCCTTTAACGGACTGAAGAATTTTGCAGGCAATGAAATGCAAACATATTCAACAATAAATTGCGCTCTTTATACATTTATCGAAAAAATTTAAGAAGACCAATTTTACGAATTGTTATATCGTGTGATTTTGAAATTGACTTTTCTGTAGGTTCTGTCCTGTATATATATATATATATAAGTCCTTTCTTTTTACGGCCCTGATTGCTCGTAATCGACCTTTATTTCTCGAAATTTCTCTGTAAGAAGTTGATTATATTATGTTTAAAGGCAATCGGTTTTATGGTGGTTTTGAGGGAATGTTGATTTGCCGAACACTGTGACATTTTAACAACAGAAACTTTCGTCTGCAGTTTGAACGTGAGGTGTTATGTTTTTAGGAATGTTAACACAGAGGGTTTTGAAGCAATTAAACTAATTATTTTTTGATCTCCCAATAAATCAATTAACATTATACATATTACAAATGTCAATTAACTTTTATATCTTTGACTCCCACGAACATGATGTTAGTGAATTTCCTCATACCGGTCTAAACTTCAGGTGACAGTCTTCAATTATATTGATAAATAATGTATCAGCATATAACGTGTATAACGTGGTTTTTTTCCATTCCAAATCTTAATCCCAGGTATTAAAAAAATACATTTTTTTAATTTGACATTAAACAAATGCATGTAATACTATTTTATTAGTCCCTTTTGTTACCACATTAACTTGTATTTGTATATTTGTAACAACTATAATAATGAATGAAAAAAACAACAACAGAATTTGTTAATTTTGACTTTTGTTTTGTATGTTCCAAAGAAATTACATTTAATGTTCTAATCTCTAGCAAACCTACCAAAATTCATGATGAACAATGTCTTTTGTCCTCCCGATTATCTATGATTTACAATTCTGGTAAAATCCAATTAACACTTTATAAGAATATCTAGTCATCAGATGTCTACAAGTTCACCGTCATTTGCTGCATGTCTTGCTTGGACGCCCTTTGATGCTTTGCATCAATGCTTTTCTTGTTATATCATGATATACCATTTGCCGCGAAACATGCAAAGGACATTTTGAAAAGTAAAGTCGATGAAAGTTTTTCTTTTGGCTTACATATAGATTTTTATATTTCCATGATTTTGTAGAAAATGAGCAGGATTATAGGTGAAAAAGAATATATAGATGCTTTGATATTTTTATCATTTTATATTACTGACTACAGTAGTGACACTGTTGCAATACTGTCATGTCACATTACATTTACAAGTCTTGTAAGTCATTTTTGTATTCAATGGAATTACTTTCCTTAATTGGTTGGCATCATTGAAAGCATATATTTTTGAAAATTTGATATCTGGTCCCTCTCTAATGGACAGTGCATACGAAAGTATAATTATGCAAAAAATGACTTACAAAACATTCGGAATAATGTACATGTACAATAGTACCTAATCTGAATATAACATGACCTGTGCGTAGAAATGATTTGGGAAGGTATCAATAATGAGCGCATTTATTTTTTGCGCGGAGCTTCTCAATTGCTGCATTGCAGCAACATTTGTACTTGTTGACGAAGATTTGCATTACTCAAATACAACATCTGAGAAGCAATTGAGTTAATAAATATACAGTGTAAACTACCTACCTAAACCGGAAACACTGAATTCCGGAATTCTTTACAAATCATTGTTTTTGTTGTTTTTTGTGGTCCCGATTATCTCTTTCTTTTTATTGTACAAAAAAAAGCCGGAAATGTTATGTTTAATCTACTTTTTTAATTTGTCCTTTTATTTTCATTTTGTTGAACATAAAACATCACAATAAAACTTTATAGCTTATTTAATTACCTCCCTGGCCGTCAAATAAGTGATAATAAACTCAGGATGAGATAATAAATATATATCTTACAGCGAGTTCAGAAGACGACTGTTGCAACAGATATGCACCTTATATAATGCTGCAACTTTAAAAGGCTCTAAACGATGTTTTTCGGAAACTACTTAGCCCTGGATACTTTCAATTTGAAATTGATTATAAAAAAGAATCATAATCACAAAAGCACAACAGATTAAAAACAAAATCTATGTTTAATAGATTGACAATGATAAGGCAAAGAAAACATACTGATTCTACGACACATTGAACGTGTATAGAGAAAGATAATTTGAAGATTTCATAATGAAGTCCCGTTTTAATTTTTTATACAACTGATGGGTTTTAACTATTTTTTGGTGACAAAAATCATCTCAGATGAGTGAATGAGATGTTTACAAATGACGCAGATCTTTGCAATTTTCAATGGAAAGACGTCCAAAACTTGATAACATTCACTGTCTGTTGGGCAAATATCCTTCACATAATATTCATTGTTATCAAATGATGATACATTCATATATATGATGTTAAAATAAAATAGTAAATATACTGTCCATCCATTTTTCGTGTTTCCGAGCTTACATTTGGATACTTATGTGGCTTGACTATACTTTCTCTTTAATGTCATTCATTTCATAAGACTTTTATATGACTATTTTCCTTTATGTGGCTAAAATTAACAATAGAGAGAACAATAGAGTAGCAACTCGTTTCGTTAGAACATACGTCCGTCTGTTCATCTATCACACAAATAATCCGGACTCCTCCTACTGGTGTAAATTCATCCGAACTTTACAGAAATGATCAGTAGTATCAAGTCTAGTTGTGCATATCATTGGCGTTTTCCAGTTCAATGATTTTTGTCAGAGTTAGACCTTTAATGACTTCTATTTTTTAAGTTTGAATAAAAAGGCGTTATGGTCCGTTAATGATTTTTTGTTGCCTCTTACACAGTAGCTGATAATGGTACAAAGTAGTTACGGCTCGCTTTTTTGTCGTCAGTATGTCTGTACATCCGTCTGTCTGTCGCAAAACTTGTCCAGACGAAACATCAAAAACTACCGGTACAATTTCATCCGAACTTTACAAGAATGTTAAGTTTAGTTTGCATATCGTGGGCATTTCCCCCATTTCAGTATTCCATTAGAGTTTGGCCCCTTTAATTAAATTTTTTTTTAATGTTGTCCGACTCTTTCTGAAAAGTTATGTAATTTAAATTGAACCTTTACAGGGATGATCCAAGCTAAATTATTTTTATATTGCAGAATTTTTCCCCGGGTTTTAAATTTTTTTTGGGCGCTATAATTATTGTTTAATCCTTTAAAGTAGCACGATTTTTTAAGGGATACTTTTTTCATCTATTACTGTCTGTCTTTTTAATCTGCCCTTTCTACACAAAATTTTGTCCCAAATTTTAATTTTTAAAGATGGTGAAATTTCATTCAACCTTACGGGAAAATTAACATCCCCCAAATCAGCTTTTGCAAACGTAAAAATTTTTCTTTTAAATTTTTTGGGCAAGTAATCCCTTTATTCTTTTTTATTATCTCTTTTTTTTATAATTGCAATTTGATGAAAATTTACGGGTTGGGGAAATTAATATTTTTCCATTGAAATGTTTTGCTTTTGGGTATAGCCCCGAATAAATACTTTTTGGTTTTTTTTTTAGTTTTGTCCCCCTGCCAACAGCATTAACGTAAGTACCCGCGATATTCAGGAACAAATGGTAAACACCCCAAACTGCATAATTGAGTTCATCAGGCGACACAGGTGATATTGATTTTCTAAAGGTTCCAACCCTGTAAATAAATTTTATGACATCAACCCGGGCAGTTTAAAAATTTTTTATTTTTAGAGCAGTAATTTTTAAAGGGTGCATCTAAAAAGGACCCAAATTTTTTCCTCATCAAAAAAGGGGGTTTTACTTAATTTTGGGGCAATGAATCTTGTAAAAAGGTTTAAACCCTCCTTTATTCCTTTTGGGTCTTTTATTATACAAAGTTTTTATTTCTTATTTAAGAAGAACTCGTAGATAATAAATTTAGTATCGTTTTATTTCAATGAGCCTGTGACTTTAAATACAAGCATAACAACATCTGTTTGTCTGAGCAACACAGCCTGCAATGTATTTAAGTAAGACATAAAATATGTTTGACCTTAAACAGATACCCACAGGTGCAATAGCTTAAGAAAATTAAATTTATTGTAAACAAATTATAGCCCAATATCAGGTATTTTGACATGTTGAACTATATCTTAATATATTATACTATGTTTAAAGACTGATTGTTCAAAGTAATGAATTTTTATTTGGAAATTGGTAAATATTCTTTTAAGTTCAACAGTTAATTTTGTACGCACTTTTGTTGCGAAGTAGTTTAATTAGGATCTCTTACTCTTCACACATATAGGTTAAGATCTAACTAGAAACGTTGGATTCGTTTAATTGGCTGTTCTAATGTGTCCGTTCATATACTAATGTGCTATTGAGGTCTTTTTTAACCAGTAAAGCTGTAAAGTCACAACATACCATTTACAGTATCGGTATCACTTTATTTCCAACCAATATAAATACAACTCACATCGATCTAACAGAATTGGCACGTTTTCCTGCATCGAAGTTGGGCGAATGAGTAACCAGCCCCTGAAGCAGGATCACAAAATCCAAACCGTAACATGTCAGCACAAGTTAAAGAAGGATCATCATCATCCTTACACGAATCAGTCGGTGCTGTCACATTTACCTCCGCAACCATAGGTGTCACAGAATCAGGGTTAGTTGTCGTCCAGTCCATTGCTGAAAAATCATTTCTTTTAATTTTACAGTTATTATTGCTTCTATCTATATTTAATTCATTAAAAAAATAAAACGTTACCAAAATAATTATATACAGGAGCCATATTAACATGGCCATCCCCCGCCGAATGTGTTTGCTCATTGGAAGAATATATATGTAGTAGAGCAGAACAATTCAATTTTAAGAGGTCTTTTGGAAATGAAAACTGATGCCGAAGTGATAACAGATTTGAAACCTATGTGAATACTGATGGCTGAAAATAACAAAGGGCAATAAATGAAAAATATTTCAGGGTAGGATATCATTCTTGTGTGCTGCACACCTCCTCAATGAGTTCTATTCATCTATGAAGTTTCAAGTTGATACCTCTAACACTTTTTAAGATAAGCTCCGGACAAAAAGTATGAAAAATAACAAAGGGCAATAACTCAAAAATATAATGAGTAGAATTATCATTCTTGTGCACAGCATTCCTCATCAATAAGATAAATCCACCTATGAAGTTTCCATGTTGACTTCTTAAAGACTTTTTGAGTTATGCTCTACACAGGTAAAAAATAAGGACAATAACTAAAAAATTATGAAGGGTAGAGTTATCACTCTTATGCACTGCACACCTCCTGAGTGAGATATATCCAGCTATGGGCGCATTCCTCCTCAATAAGATCTATCCACCCATGAAGTTTCCATGTTGACATCTCAAAGACTTTTTGAGTTATGCTTCACTCTGGTGAAAAATTAGGTATGAAAAAAGAACAAAGGGCAATAACTCAAAAATTATTAAGGGGAGAGTTATCACTCTTGTGCACTGCACATCTCCTGAGTGAGATATATCCACCCAATGAAGTTTCATATTGATATACCAATGGCTTTTGAGTATTGCTCTGGCAAAAATTAAGTTTGAAAAAGAACAAAGAACAATAACTAAAAAATTATGCGGGATAGAGTTACCATTCTTGTGCACTGAACTCCTCCTCAGTATGATCTATCATCATATGAAGTTTCAAGTTTATACTTCAAACACTTTTTGAGATATGTTCCGGACAAAAATGTCGGACGGAAAGACGGATGTTCTAACAGGAGAGTAATAATGTGGCTACTCTATTGTTCTCTCTATTGTTCTTTTTAGCCACGCAAAAGAAAATAGCCACATAAAAACATTACGGAATGAATGACATCAAAGGGAAAGAACAGTTACCTATTGTCCCTCTAGCCACATAATTACTGTCCTGTGAGTGCGGACGGACGGAAGGATGGACGGACAGAAGGATGGACGGACGTTCTAACGGGATGGTAATTATGTGGCTACTCTATTGTTCTCTCTATTGTTCTTTTATAGCCACGAAAAAGAAAATAGCCACATAAAAGCATTACGGAATGAATGACATCAAAGAGAAAGAACAGTTACATATTTTCCCTCTAGCCACATTATCATTGTACCGTGAGAGCGGAAGAACGGACGGACGGAGACAATTTCTTTATCCCCCGCCGCCTTTCGGCGGGGGATAATTAAACATTGCTTAGGTCATTTTGTGTATGCCAAGTCAACAAAAATATTCTTACCGTAATGCAATTATAATAGCAAGTATAATCAACATGATTAAAAAATTTTATGCACCACTTAAAAGTTAGAGCATACTGGTTTAGTCCGTCCATCCGTCCACCCGTACGTCACTGTCACCACTTTCTTGTCAGACCAAGAACGAATTTAAGGAGGAATAAGTCGTGGTTTATGTAAATTGGTAAGAATATGTCCATGACCAGTAGATGACCTTTCTGATTTTCAGGTCAACAGGTCAAAGAGCAATGTTACCCTAGCATTAAACAGTAGTCCGACCAATAACTACAAGTACAGAACACCTTGTCTTATAGTCCTAAGATTCGGTTTGGGGGGTTGTTCATGAACTGTAGATGATTGCTTTTGATTTTCAGGTCAGTAGATCCAAGGTCAAAAGCACCATGGTCTTGACCACTATAAGCTTGGCTGACTAATAACTTGAAAACTTTAAGGTTGACAGTCATTAAGACCATTTTGTGTAGAGACTGGTCATGGCTGACAGAAAACTCGAGGAAGTTCTGGCGTACTGAGCTAAGATTCAATGTTGAAGTTGGTTATGAGTAGTAAATGACAATGTAGTTTTTGAGGCAAGGCTACAATGGCCTTGACCAGGAAAAGCTTTTCCTAACGAACGCTTTGGCTACCAGTCATACGCTGCAACATAAAAATCAATCATGAGTAGTAGACGAGTTCAATGTCTCAATACGACTTGAAGCTAGTGCGGCTAATAACAACAAGTTTTGTGATGACTCATATAGTTTTTAAGCTTAGAATGTCAAAGGTCAATGTAACTGTGTCATTTAACACTAAAAGCGTGTCGGATCAATAAGGATGATTATGACTAGATGACACCTGTTAATTTGAGATCAACTGAAAGTTTATAGGAATAATATCAGAGCACCTTTTTCTACACAGTCCTTTTGTATAGTGAGAGGTTGTTCATATATAACACTTAGATGACTTATCATCTTTAAATTTCCAGGTCATTAGGTCAAAAGTCTATGTATCAGTGGCACTATGTGTAAATTCCTTGTCCCATCAATCAACCAAGAATATGTAAGTATAAATTCTTTATCCTTCTACTCGTCTTTTGTTTGACAAAAGGAATTGTGAAAAGAATGCAGTGTACAACGATGATAACTCAAAACTTAAAAGATTTAAGGTAGGAGTGCAGTTTCTTAGACTCTGAAATTCATAAATGTTGTGCTTTATCGTCCTTTATCGTTTTTTGGCATATTTTTCAGGATAATAAGTTGAACAGAATATCAACTTGATAGTTAATAATATTAAAAATAAAAAAAAAACTAATGAAATTAGAATGTAAATTATTTATTGAGCATGATATATTCATTATTTCCGAATATAATCCCTGCATGTCAATCCTTATATACATAGATAAATTTTATAATGACTTTTGTATAATCTCAATAAAATCCGATAGAAAAAATATTTTATTGTAAAACTCGTTTTTACTGCAAAACCCGTTGTGATCAAATTGCAATAAAATTATGTCAACGCAACGAGTTTTGCAATAAAGTTATTAGAAAACTCGTTTTTATTGCAAAACTGGTTGTAACAAGGCTCTGTTGTGACATTGCCATCGCCTGTGTTTGATTTAATGTCACAAGGTCAAGGTCACACTTGCATGAAATACTTTACTTATTGTCAGTTTGTGAATTTTTTTAGTTTTTATACAATGAATAAATATTTATAAGGTATTAACAGTGGATTTTTTTATAAATATACATAAGTATGTAAAAATGTCACTGTAACAGCAAATGAAAAGGGGTCGTGAGTTTCCTATGGCCGATATTATTAAATTTTGAGTATGTTATGATAATATCGCGTCTATTTTTATTTTCTTTGTGACGATATGATTAAGAAAAATATACATTTTAGCAATATATAAAGATAATCTTACTTATTGTCAAAGCTGGAATATCTGTCAATGGCGCCATGGAAGTTGCAGCGGGAGTTGTTGTAGTTGACGCCGGCGCCATGGTAGTCGGAGCGGGAGTTGTTGTGATTGGCGCTGGTGCCAGGGTGGATGTAGCTGGGACCTTTGATGTAGCTTCCGGTGCCACTGTGTTTGCCGAAGTAGTAGTAGTGGCGGCAGGTCCAAACGGATTACAAAAACCGCAATACTTTGCGCATTTCTCGTGCGCAATAGCATAAGCCACAGACGTGGTGTCTGTGCAGAAATTATACTTTGATAGTTCAGAACACTTGAATGTTTCACTTTCGTAATTTCGACAGCCATTATCTGTGTTTACGAAAAACATTATTGTCATGAGATCCTGCACAAATAACGAAGGCTTAAGAAAATTGTAAATTAATGATAGATTTTTACTGGAATTTCTACTGGAACTATAAGCTTGTTTCTAGCAAGTCGTTTCAAATAAAGACGATAACTGTCTTGTATAATCTGACTGTTGATAAAATAAAAACATTAATGTAAGAATCTCTGGACGCGTGGGTTCAAACCTCGTCGTGGACAAGTCGTTGAATCCTTTAGCATGAATCTTTATACCCATTGATTAGTACTAGTTGGTTCCAAAGACGTTTCAAAAGAGTGTTTAAGCTCATATATTTCTACACAATCAAACTAACAAACTAAGTTGCACATGTGCAGTATACTTGAAACTTTTTGAGATATACCACGTGGCTTATTAAAACTCTTAAGCTGATGCAATTAGGTATAAATCTGGCGTGATTCACCAAAATAATAATAGGTTAATGCAATAGTACAAAGGAAATATCAACCGTTATCTTAGTTTACAGTAAATATACACATGCAAAGGCATAACAATTTAGCGACAGAAGAAATTAATTGACTTCCTTTTTAGTAAAACTCAAGATAACTGTTATTAAAATACTATGTTTTAACAAATCGAAACATAAAATATCAAACGTTCATTTTACCCATTAATGCGAATAAAATAACAATCAGTGTTATTACGATGAACATTTCTTCAAGAGTTATGATAATTTTATCGTACCGTTTACCGTGGTAGTGGTCATTGATGCTGTTGTGGTCATCGATGCTGGTGTTGTTGTCCGGCTGAAATATTTTGCTGAAATAGAAATGAAATGCAGAATAAAAAACAGCTACGGTATTAGCTGAAACTGGCTGAATTGATAAATAAATATAGAAGATGTACTTACAGCAAGCATTTTCCTCGTGAGCCTGGCAGTTATGAAGAGTGCAGCAATCTCTACAAACAACAGCACCGTGTTCATGAGGTGCTCTTTTTTTACCAACTATCTCATTACGATGCTGCTCACATTCCTACAAAATTAAACTATCATATCGTTGAAATAATTAAAACAATATCAGCATCCTAACTTTGTGACTTTCATATCCATTTAACTAAATCAGACATTGTCAATAAAGTTTAACTTCAATAATATGATTATATAAATACGCGCTTCAGCAATAATCCAGTGTCCTTGATAAATGAAAAGGTAGCATAAGCACAAATCACTAATTCAGACAATAGTTGTACGTCTATTAAAGCCAAACTAGAACGCAGCATAATGTACAATATTTGAAAATAAATACAGACGATTCTTGAAACCATATTACCAGACTTTCATCAATGAATACTAAATATAAATAAAAACGCAGCCTTTAACATATCCAATGTTTTGTAATTATAATGACATTGTATTATAAATATGTGTTCGTTGCACCCGTCTCTTTTTCATTCCGATAAATAGATATTCGCCGACAATTATCGGGCTGACATAGACTTCTGATTTTCATAGGAATAGGGATGGTGATCGATTACTGTCACATATAATCGATTCCTAATAAATTACATGTATACATTTTATATGATTAATTAATAATCGATTATACTGATAAGGCTCTGTAATGGAATACTTTCGATTACTTTGGCATATGTAATCATAATTACGTACTGATTACATTCTATTACATACTTCAATCTGTCAACTTTATTTTTATATCATATATATTATATGTATATATGTGTTTTATATACAGTTTATAAATATATAGTTATATCTTACAATTAACACTTTCTGTGCAAATTTATTTTAACAAATACATATAGACAATAAATTAAATTCAAACGAAGGAAAGAAGAACAAACTATTATCTTTTTTAAAGTAAGTGTAATGTCAAGTTCTTGAATCCTCAAGGACAGATCCTGCACGAATAATATAATATTTAGCTAAGGCACAATTTAGCATGTCACATATATTATATCCTGAACATTGAATGCTATTTAATTTAAGTGTGCCTTCTGATGGAAATGGGTCTGGAATTTCAACTGATTAACTGAATACAAAAGTAAATATTCTTTTTTTTCAGATTTGTATCAATATACCTCTTTCTTGTACTAATACATTAGGAATAGTTATACTCCACATTTCTTATTGAATATTTTAAAAATCGCTTCAAACTGTATACATATGTGTAATAACTTTATGTGTGGAAATTATTTTCGCTCTTTTAACAATTAAGATAAGTACGTTACAATGATAACTGCCCTTGTCGGGTAGAGGCATGGATTTTCAGCTCTCGTTATTTTTCGGAATAGTGTGTTTGTTTTTTTTTTATTTTATTCATTTTTTTTTTTTTTCATTTTACGCCTTTTTCCAACAGTATTTCGGTCATATAGGCGGTCGGAATAATGTGTAAAACAAAAGGAATTTTAGTGATATTTTGTTGATGTTTGGACAACCTTATAATTAATATCATGCTACCGAAAATTGAAAACGAATTTCACTTTTTGTTTACATGTTCACAATATTCTGACCTTCGCAAAAAATATCTTAGACGCTTCTATTATAAATGGCCTACATTACAGAAACTTAGTAATTCATTATTGTCCGAATCTAAAATAATTGTAAGAGATCTTTCTAAATATTTAAATATTTAATTAGAAAATAGTTTTACAGAACTTCAAACTTGTCATTATTATAAATTCATGTTTTACATTGTATTTTAGTGCTCCTTGAAAAGTCCATGTATTCTGCCGTACAAATATGGACTTTTTAGCCGTTGAATATGATGTAATGAAAAAATTAATATTGTCCGAGGCGATGGCCGAGGTGAATATTAATTTTCAGTACACATCACATTATATTCAACAGCTAAAAAGTACATATCTGTTTTATTATATAATTTATAAATAGCTTTTTTATGGCTTATGAAATTTGCCGAAATCGTTATTTTTCAGCTTGTCTACTTTTTCCATAATTTAGCCCTTTCTTTTAAGTGAGCGCATTGGCACGCTAATTCATATTTTTCTTTAAAATGTTAAAAGACAGTAACTGAAATAGACTAATTTGACTCTTATTTACGAGTCATTCAATGTTGTTTTCTGAATAATAATAACAAACTCACGTCATGTTCTCGCGTCAGAATATATTCTGAAAATCTATTTTTAGGGAAAAAACAGTGAATATACTCTGATATTGACCTGTTATTTTTTTACAAAAAGCTGCTTGTTAGGCAATCAGGGAAATGCATTTCAAAGTTATTAAAGTTCACGAGATGAAATAAAATTACATCTTACACAACAAACAGACAAATTTTCTTTTTATTTTATGCTTAAAAACAAGTTAAAACGAAATTTCCATAATTTTAACGTTAATATTAAAACTGTTTCCCCCATTGAGAGCCCCATTTATTCGGAATTTCTCATTAAAAAAAAGAAGTCTTGAGCTGAAAAATAAGTCCGCCAATCAACATTAAATGACGGTGATATTTATTAATTTTATTAAAAAAATATGAATGATCGCTTGTTTTGATAATAAAAACAAACAATTCTTGTAGGAGAAAAAGTCCAACCATCCATCAATATTTCTGTTACTTAGTGCGAATTTATATTAGACCTGGCTTTGTAAATTGTAAGCGGCAGCCATTTTTTAAAGTTGTGTATTTCATGGGAGGAAAATAATTGTGTAAGATTCAGAGGGATATAATTTGGATTTGTTAGTCATACACATTTTTAAAAGAAAGAAAACTTATTTGAGGATTGCAACAGACAAAAAATAAGTGTTGACAGATGTGAAAACATTCAGAAAAGGAGCTAGGAAAATGGAAAACTTGGAAACCTGCTCAAGAACGCTGGGTTGATTTAACTTATTCTTCGAGTTATGGCTGTCAATGCTTTCAATTTTTCATAAAGCATACGGCAGTTATTGCTCGTAGGATACTTTAATATGCCCAACTGTCATCAAGAGCAGTTTTGCATGGGGAAGGAATGTATTTTTGAGACTGTCAAAATGAAACAAAAAAAACGAAATTTGGTGATCGGTATTTCATGAATTTGAATGAATAGAAGTAAGTTTTCTTCTTTTTATTACTTTTGACATTTAAGTTATTTATCAATTTCAATTTTGCTTGTTCTTTAAACAGCCTGACATTGTCAGAATTGTCAGCAAAAATAAAATTGAGGTACCACATGGGGAAAATCTTAAAAAAGTAGTTTCGTCATTGAAAAGAGTGAAATTATATTTTGATAATTTTCACTGTGAAATTACCAAATATAATTTTCACAGATAAATCAGTAATCCACTGAAAAGCATAAAATAAATTATAATATACAAATATGGACTTTTTAGCTGGTGAATATGATGGGATATGTACTAAACAAATCGCCTAGGTCAGTATAAATTTTTCAGTACATATCCCATCATATTCACCAACTATAAAGTCCATATCTGTTTTATAATATAATTTATAAATGTCTGTCAATGCATACGACGAAAATAAAAAATTGTGCTAAATTTCAGCTTGTTTACTTTTTCCCTATCTTTTAAATGGGCGCATTGGCTTGTTAGCTAATCAGGGAAAGGCATTTCAAAGCTATTTATAGATTATATAATAAAACATATTATATTGTATGTTTAACGCAATAAAATTATTTGAGTTTGAGTCAGACTGTCACGCGCCTTTACAATTAAAACACTATCAGCCCGCTTGGACAAGTAAAAAATTGTCAACACGCTCAAATAATTAAGATATTGTTAGCACATTTCCACAATAAAGACATTGTCTGCTCGCTTCAGCAATCGAAACATTGTCAAAACTTTTTAACAATAAATACACTGTCAGCTCGCTGGAACATTGTCAGGTCGCTTGAACAATTTAGATACATGTATTGTCAATACTTTTGAACAATTTAGACATTGTCAGCGCGCTTCAACATGTTAAACTTTAACGATAAAACATCGTCAATACACTCAGAACATTGTCTATATGTTTCAACAATTAACACATTGTCAGCAGGGTCTTGCCAGGACACTTCAACATGATCGTACTGGGGATAGATGTTAGAACACAGTAAAAGTTAATGGTACTCCACTGAGGTTTTATTTTTGACATGATGGGACTGAAAATATTTTTTCCAGATAAATGTACCATTTGATGTAGGATACCACTAATCTTTGTGCAAAATTGCAGATCATTCGCGCACTTCGTTTTTCAAGAATAATTATTCAAATTGTAAAAAAATGACCCAAAATGAAAAGCGTCGAAACGCTTTTCACTCAAATCGGGCTAAGAAAAGCATAAAAATACGATTTTCAATTTGTTTCAAAGTGTATTTCTTTGCATATATATTTCTGTTTAAAGAGCCCCAGCTCATTAATGTAAGAAATTTAAATTTTATGTTTTTAGGCTTTTATACATCAGTGGAGTCCCTTTAAGATGTCATACCAAATAAATGAATAAATAAAATAGCGGTGAAAATTCCATGAAGATTATAAATTCTTGGCACACAACAGACAACAATGCATAAATATTTTCGTTGTACAGCTGCAGTACACAGAAAAATGACTTGCTAAAAGCAAGAAACATGTATCTATACACCAAAGTTATACTCACATGTGCAGGTTTACACGTGTAGAGAAACAAATATTCGTTGTGTATGAAATGCACTTCTGTCACACATGACTGTAATACAAACATACAAAAAGAACCCGTCATTATAAGCAATTTAATGTCGACTACTTATTTTGTAAGTGTTTAATAAATACTGGTATTTGTCATTTCCATTTCCGGTTTATAAATATTATCATATAACGTAACCTGCTATTGTTATAGTACTGTTTCTATTGTAGTTATTGGAGAGGTCATCAGACCTCTCCATAGTGTTCAGACTGATTGCTGGCAGCATCCATTTTTGCGTATCTGATTATAGTAAACGAGTCTCATTTTAAGCGTAAAATCATTAGGAACAGTCTACAAAAATTGTTTTGCGCATGCCCCATTTCAAAATACGGCTTAACTTAAACGAAAAATTAACATCGAAGTGAACAAATCGGTACATAGAAAAATTGGAAAAAATCATTTACGTTACTTAGCACTACGTGGATGTTTCATTCCGTTTAATCTTTTAAACTATATAAATCGATTACCGTATTGTTTTCTGAATAACGTTTTACTATTTCATGTTCCGATAAATAGTAACAGTGAACATTATAGCTACAATATCACCATGCACTATTATATGACCGAGTGAACCGTGTATTGAACCGGTATGACTAAATAACGCAACGGAGATTTTTTGGCGCAAATGGCACAAATTTTACCTCAAGTTTGATTTTCTTCTAATATTGTGGTTGGAGGCATGTAGCTTTATATACTGTTTATTCCAATAAACAGTATATAACAGTATAACAGTATATAACAGTATATAAATAACACATGGGTTTGTGGGTAACAGTAAAAATATCATCCCGAGGAAAATACTGTTACCCGAGGCGTAGCCGAGGGTAACAGTATTTTTACGAGGGATGATATTTTTACTGTTACTCACAAACCCATGTGTTATTTATTTTATTACCCCGAACAAAAATACTGAGATGATCTGAAATTGTCAACTAAATCTAACTGTAACAAAAATAAACCAAGAGTAACAATAACTAAACTGTCCTTACCTTTTAAGTTTTAAGTGTAATTTACTGTAGGCCTACTTGAGAAGTTTTCTTTTTCTTTTATTCTTTAAGCAAGTGATGATATTTACAAATCATAAACATACAATAAGCTAGGTTTTATTTAGGAAACAAAACACTAACCCATTTACACGGTTATGATCTGTGAAATCTGTTCCTTCTGTTTCCAGAATATTCTTAGCACGGTTTTTGACAAAATAACGATGATATCCTTAGTCCACCATATCTGTAACGTTTCACTGATTAAATTTGTTAAATAATCCTTTGTTGCATGTTTAAATCGTCTGCATGTTCCAGTTTGACACATAATTATTTACATTGCAATTGCTTCCGTTGAAAACGGATGTTCACTTTTTGACTTTTCAACCAAAAGGTATTTTATACGCGAAAAGCACACCAGGGTGCACACAACTAAATTTTATGAGTGTCATAGTGACTCCCGAGGAGAAATTGATGTCCTATCGGGGTTTAACGTTGAAAATAAGAATGAATCGAGAAAAAATGGCGGCCATTTTATTTCATTTTATTTAGGAAATAGACCACGTGACCCGTTAAAAATACTGTTACCTATGTAACAGTACAAAATTCTTAGTCACGTGGTACACTTGCATTAACAGTAAAAATAACTCCCAGAGGGCTATGGGAAATAAGCATTACGAAAAAAGTGAGGGGTAATAATATATACTGTTTATTCCAATCAAATGATATAAACATTTTTTAAAATACTTTATACCCGTTTTGGAAAATGTAGAGGAAATGTTTCCTTATACTTAACAAAACAGTAACCGAAAATTTGCTTATTGAACTTTACAAGAAACTTTTATTTTGATACTACTTTTAAAATATATATACTTTTCCTACAAAGGAAACTGAATTTAAAATACAAATGTAAATAATATATTTCATTAATTTTAGTAATTTTACAATTTTTTTGTAGAAAAAAAAGTATCCCTAATGCGCCAAGAAAAAAGTCCATTTCTCCGGCATATAATCTTTCAAAACATTAAAAAAGATGAAGTGTAAAACAAACTTTCATTGCAATATATATAATCAATTCTATTTTGTTAAATAATTGTTATTTATTACCATTCTTTTATGCCATATAATATCCCCAAATATTTTCGAATTAAACAAATCTTTCACAGCATCAAAAATACCTCTCGCATGCTTCTTTTTAAAGAAGCAAACTTTGTATCTCTTGTCATTAATGTCACTCGGTGAACCAGTGAAATAGACTTATAGGTTGCAAATAACCTGTAAGTGCACGCTTACATACTGGTCGAGTATTTCGTTGTTGTTGTTTTTTTTTATCTGTAAGCCAGTTACTCACGTTGATTTTTCCGGACTGAATTCTTAAGTATAAGGATATTGCCTGATAATAAAACACAGAAATTCCTACCTCTCCATGGCAAAGATGATATACCATACACTCCCTTGGGTCTCTGACATAATGGTCACATTTCTTGCACAGTCTCGTTCCACCATGAGGTGCTGGAACCCCTAATATCACTGATAAAAATGCGAACATGTTAAAAAAATAATATATAAAACTGTACAACGGAGTTTTAGTTCTAATCCTAAGCGAAACGCATTTAGGAGTTCATTTCTTATGTCAACAATATTACAAAACCCAGGGTGGTCGAGGATTGGTTTACTAGTATTTTGAAACGTAACAAATGCTACAAATGATAAAAAATGTACAAATTGTAAAACTAGCCATACAAAATACTAGTATTTTATTATTTCTAGTGGAAGGATGAAAATTGTGTCTATTTTTGTTAAATCGTGTAGTAATACATGACAGGTCATTGAATAAGAGAATGAATTAATCAAATGTGTCTATTGAAAATTGACCTTTATGATAAAGGTAAGATTTCCATTTATGAAAATGTACAATCAGTACATTATATAGAATGACATCATTGACAATATCAGGCTATGTTCTTTACTTAACTTAGGAAACAGATTTACATTTTGAGTGCATTGTTGTAGAATAATTCGCAGCTCGATTTCAAATGCGCAGGAATATTTATATAATCACAAAGGCCAATAGGAAATTACAAAGAATTTTGAACGGTACACGATAGTTATTATTATACTTTTATAAAAATTAAAGCCAAGTGTAGATAGGCCATTCAAAAAAAGTAAAGATATAAAATTGTCTGACATTTGTCCCCCAAGGATGACATTGACATTATACCGGAAAAAAAACGCTGGCATGGTATCTGTATATCACTTTGTTGAGTTAAATGTACGTGCCAAATTTGAATAATCCTTTAAAAAATACAGCATTTATAGAACAGACATGTAATTTCTTATATTTGACCTTCAATTTTGACTTTCACTTCATCACAATAGCACAACGCCGTGGAAGTATAAGAAACGTTCAAAGGGTATAGGACTAGAGGGCACAAGAAATTATCTGACTGTGGATTGCAGGGAAGACCAGCGGCTGCACGGGTTCTTGCACATAATCTTGCTCGTGTGAACACCTGTGTGGTAAAATGTTTTAGAGAACAAACGAACTTGCCAAACATTTGACCTCCAACTGTGATATTTCACCTTGTGGAGCACACATGGTATCTTCTAAACATTGCCTTCTTGAGATGATAATTTTAGCCCAGTTTGATGAAACTGTTCAAGGATTATAGAAGTTTTTGTAGAACAGACTCGCTGACATTTTACCTCTAAATTTGATCTTGACCTTTTGATGGCATAATCGTGACATAAATTCTGCACATCAACAAATCTTGAAACAAGCAAAAAAAGTGCTTATTTTTTCAGAATTATTCTTTGAATGTAACATGTACTACCGATGTTGAATTGTTAAATGGATTTGCAGAGGTTTAAACAATAAGGCAGTCAATAGTATAAAGTATGATATAAATCTGTATATAGATGGTTTAAATGTCTCTTTTTCTCCTGTCCTAAACCTTCTATGGATTTTTAGAATAACTGCCATCTGTTAATTCTTTATACCGGTAATGCAAATTATATGATGTGCATCTTGCTTAAGTTCAAAATTGGTTTTGATTTAATTTTGCTGCACATAATTATAATTTGGATTATTAATATTTATAATAGAGGCATGTGTTATCAGGTATAAACATAGTCAAGTTGGTATAAATAATTTTAATACACCTGGCCCATTGATATCTCCCCTACTCTGACTTTTTATTTGAATAACAATAGTTTTAACCACAAACATTGACATGTGCTCTTTTGTAACCAAATAGGTTATAGTAAAATTCTTATTGTATTCACTAATATGATTATTAGAATTAGACAGGTCAGGGATCTATGCATTAAGATTATGTGTCACCTAGGTATTAGTGTTAAAAATAAATCTGGACAAGAAACATTAATGTTAAATCAACACTAACCATTGTCCACCTGTCCATCATCCACAGCTTATCAATCTTCACTTTATTAGAATGCTTACACAAATGTTGAATGTTTTCATGTCATGCCAAACCAGACAATTTCTTCATACAGACCTCACATTATAACATGATATTGTTCTTAATGACTAAATAAGCATAATTATTTACGAGCCTTTTACTTGCATACAAACACAGAAAAGTAAGATGAATAAGCAAATAATTAAAACAAATTTAGCAGCTATTTAAAATAACTTTGTTAATTTTTTTACATCGTATCAAAAATCTGCAAAAAAAGGCATTTTTGTTCTTAAAAGCTATACTTTTTCAATATTATAAAACAAAATTAAATAACATCTGAATTTTTTAAACTTTTTAAATATTTTTCAAAAACAACAAAACTCTTTGCCACAATATCTATAATAAGATATACATCAGTTTTGCATAAAAAACGGTCAGCATATTTGTCGCCATATTGGATTCTGAAACGCTGTTATAGCAATATTTGGTAAGATTTGAACTTTTGTAAAGGAGAGACTTAATGGAGTAAGTTTCAGATTTGGAAGAAAAATATGATAAATTGTCTAACATACAGGTATAAAAGTAATTGAAATAAGAAATAAAACTTACAGCACGACAAAATGACGAAAATTCCTGCGAAAATCATCTTAACGTTCGCCCCAAATGGTCTTTTCTTTGTGAAATACTAATGCGACCTTCCGGTCACTTTTGTCACAGATAAATGATATATAACTGACACTTGTTATCTTTCTTCTAGCCTGACATAATTTAAGTCAAAGGGTTATTTGTTTAAAGTAATCATTAAGGTCATTAAGGTCATTGAAACATTTTACAGCGTTCAAACATTTTGTCTGGCTAAAATTTAAGCGTTTACTAGTTCCAAGCGTACAATATCAAGATGCAATGTTGAGCCAATAGAATAGGATTTGCATAATAGCAGTTTGACTCAAATATTGCAAGGTCGTCTTGAAGTACTACAAATACGGAAACAAGCACGAGGTATAAGTCGTATCAACACTTTGGTGGACTTTGCCTTCATATAAAACTTTTTGTGGTCAATGAGTTAAAAAAAAACAGCAACAACAAAACAGAATATATTTGTCATTCTACAATATTTAATTTAGACACTGTTTTGCATTATAACAAATATATCAATATTTGTATATGTGTGTAGTATGTAAATGCTCATTAATTAAGATTCAGAAATGAATGTAAATGATTTTAGAAAGTTTATACATCACTGAAAAAAGTTTTGAAAATCTTCATAACAAAAAACTTACTGGTGTTCACTTGTGAAACATCTTCTGTGTGATTTAGATTTTTATGATGCTTTGTTAATGCAATGTGTGGGTAACTCTGATAACTTTTTATGTATTGTAAAAAAAAGATTAACAGATCAATTCGTACAGAATTGGTCGTGTATATTAGATAACTCGAGTAGAGCTCATTTTTTAAGCAAAAATTCGACCATACCTTAATTTTATTCATGCGAAAAAAATCTGTAGTAGTGTAACAAGGTTAAGAGTATCATCTCATAGGCTTCATATTGAGATTGGTTTTTTTGTAACGTTCTAGAGGACTAATTTCATTTTGTATTGGAATGTAAATTATATAGTGATATAAATAAAACGTTCAATACCTACTTACTATTGGAAAAGACCAAATATGTCAAAACTCATAGACGGATAACATATGTGTAGCAAGTAGGTTTGTTTGGTAAATGTGTGGATAGCACTTTTAAAATTAGAAAAGAGAAGTTGTCTACAAATCGTTATCCATCTTCGTAATACCCATAAGTGTAACTTTCATAGTACATTTGAATTTGTATGTATGTATGTATGTATATGTGATGGATGGATGGATGGATGGATGGATGGATTGATATGTATATGTATATGTATGTGTATATATTCACGATAGCAAATTTTAAAGTTTCCTAAAAATTATTCCACAACTCTTCTTCCGAATAATAAATAAATTAGTGTCACGATGTAACGTTCATACGACTATACATTACAGAATAATATTGTTGTATTCTTTGTTAACTGAGCATTTAAAGAATATCTCTCTTCAAGCTGTATGTTGATCTTGTGTTTTGTTTTCGATAAGATCAGGATACTTACAGTATGCAAATTCTTACCTTAAATATTAAAGATTCATATGTTGGTCTTGTGTTTCGTTTTGACAAGATCAGGATATGACTAGTATGTAAGGACTTATATATCTAACACACATAGTTATTTTGTGACAAGGAAGAGCAGGGGTAGCTTATACAATACACCACATACATAATTTTGTAATCATTTATATATTATTAGAAATTGATTATTAATACTAAGATATTTTAACATGCAAATGAATGTAAACCTTCTCCGTTGTTGTTTAAAACTTGTTTGAAATTTATTTTTATACACTGTATAAATGTATATCGTATATCCCCACGGGCCATGTAGGCTAATGAAATTTGAATAATAAACTTATCAAACTACAATTACTACAATTTACTGAGGAAATGATCATACCTGATTTGTTCAATTTATTTGTTCAATTAGGAATTAATATGTTAATTGTCCCAACATCGTTCAAAGACAAAATTTCCTCTGTGTTCAATGGTATATAAAACTATGATAAAAACAATTATAATAAAACAATATTAAAACAACAACAAAGACATGTGTCTATACATGTATATGGTGATGTATTATTATTATTTTCTTATTATTTGTTTGAAGCCAAAGAGGTAACTCCGTTTATTGTCCCCGTAATAGGTAAAATAGGGTCGGGGATCCTCCATCCACTATTTTACCTTACAATTTATTATAATGTTAAAAAAAAATATTAAGGGCATTTATATCATACATAATTTTATAATATATACAATTTACAGAAGATGAATGTTCTATTGGAATTAAAAGTATTTCATTTCCAAAACACTGGATATAATATATTCAAACTGTAATATATGAGTAGTTTATTCAAAAAAGGTTCTATCTATTTGCTATCATATCAACTAATGAGTACATGGATTTTTTTTTAACTTTTGTATAACTAACTATTGAAGATGCTACCTTTAAACTGCAGACGAGGCATTGTAAAGATGGTATTACCCCCGTCCTCTTGCACAAGAATATATATCTTTTTTATTCTATACAAAAAAAAATATTAAATTGACATTGGTCACCTTTTTGATACCCTAAAATAAATGTTTTACAATCAACCTTTCAATCAACATTATGACATTTTAACAATTGTTACACATCTAAGATAAAAGATTTTTATAACCGAACAATTACAGAATAAATGAGATAATGTCTCTTTTTCTTCTTTGCAGAAAGTGCATTTATCAGATTGTGTCAATTTCATTTTAGACATTAAATAGTTTGTTCCTAGAATTCTATGGGTGATTCTAGTTTGAAGCCATTGAAGGTAACTATCATTAGTTTCAGTGTGAACCCATTCAAACAGGTATTTCCATTCAGTATCATCAATGTTAAAAAAAAAAGCATTCAATTTTGATATACATGTAGGTATTTGACAATTATCAATAAATACATTATATATGGTAGAGGTTTCACTTCTACATAAAAATATATGTTTTATATAAAAGGGAATAGATGGCAATAATACATTGGTATTAGAATATTCTATTTTTAGAGACTTTATGTACTTTCTAATAACTCTTTTCAAACCTTCATAAACTAAAAAATTCATATTTGTACCAATTTTTGTTTCTAAATTTTCTTTACTCACAAAATTTCCATTTTTTTGCATAATTTCTTTGATAAAAAACACTCCATTTTCATACATGGATTAAACATTCACAGGCTATCAAAATATTATTATTGTAAAACAATGGACAGTTAACAAACTGCTATATCTGTTATTTTCACAATATCTATATAGTCAATAAACGCTAACAAAACATCTTTCCAAAAGTAATTGTACATTGATTTAGATTCAATTTCTACATAAAATGTAATAAAATGGTGATGTATTAATGTTGTCGGACAACACTCGTGTTCGACCATCAATTTGAATGATGTCATTGGTTGAAAAATAAAACAATAAAATATAAGCAAATGCCAATGTACATCTAGTAACAACATTATTTATGACAAAGATTTGATTTAACATAAAATACATCTTAGGTTTTTACCAGGATATATTACTTTTCTTACGAACATTTCTTTCGGATCATTGTAAACAAGTTATTATGAAAACTTAATATTGTTGTAGGTATAATAAATGATGGGACAGATTGTATATACCATGATGAATGACACTACAAATATGACAGATAATTGATACAAAACACGTGAACACTTATAAAAAGTACTGAACGAATCACCGCCAAAGTTTGTAATTCATTTAATCCTTAACTATTACAAATGTGAATTTTTATAGCTGATGATTAACAATGAACATATAAAGGTTTATTATCAATATAAAGTATGGTAATTATTCTAATTATGTAACGATTACTTATACATCAAGTTAAGACAGGATAGATGTATGCCCATTTTGATTTTATGAAATTTATTGTTCAGGAAAAATACGTTTAAAGATGAAAAAGGTAAGTTTTTAAAATGTTTTCGTTTAATAAAGATAATTTAAAAATATAGATGAGAATATTTCTGAAAGTCACATATATTCATTCTCTTTATGCTCGTGTTAAATTTTGACACAGAGCTTATAAATTTTTATAATATTAATAGATAAATATTTAGCATTTCAAATACAGTCAATTGCCATTTATTATCGATCTATACACTAAATGTTTTAGCGCTTACGGTATATAGAAACTGCTGTACAATACAGTTTTATTTAGTATGCAATGGATGATCTTCAACTTTTATAAAATCTAAAGCTCATGTTATCCAATAAGCAATAAACACAAATAGAATTCAGTCACTGAGTATTATGTGGTCAGTTTCAAATCAAACTGATATGTAATAACCAAAAATTACTACAAAAGGTAAACGGTCAAGGTCACATCAATTGAAAGGTCACTGGAGCCTGTAATGATAAAACAAAAACAAAAATTAAAAACTGGCCATTAAAGGCCCATTTAGCCCCAAAAATGTTATTATTTTCATTTCTCGAAAACTTTCATTTGGGGATAAGTCAAATGTAGTTTATTTTAGAACAAATACTTGTGTCTTAACAAATCATGTTTTTAAAATAGGTTCGACAATGATACCTGTTGCACATAGTTATAAGTATCTTGGTTTATTTTAAATGAATTTTTGAATTTTGCTGAAATTGCTAAGAATGTAGCTCTCTCTGCAGGAAGAGCACTTGGTCTTATTATTTCCAAATGTAAAACTTTTGGTGGCTTTCAGTTCTCTACCTTTACTTTACTTTATGATTCCATTGTCAGGCCTGTCATTAGCTATGCAGGGAGATAAGTCATACTCGTGTATAAATGCTATCCATAATAGGGCAATGCGTTATTTTCTAGGGGTAGGTAAATACACCCCAAATTCAGCAGTCTATGTGAGATGGGCTGGAAGCCACTGATAGTTCAGCAACGGGGCTCTGTTATAAGACAACACTGTAGACTGTTAAATATGCATGACGCAAGATTGAATAAAGAAGTCTTTAATTGGTCAAGATCTGGAGCTAGTATTAGTTGTAAGAATAGTATTTTTCGAATTACAGAAATGTTACAGAGTATTAATTTTGAAGACCAGATTTATTTTAACACAAATCAATTGAATACTAAAGCAATTGTAACAAAAATTGAGGAACAAAAATTTGATGTAGAAGTTAATAAATGGAAACAATCATTAGAGCGTTTGTCATCTATATCAGGAAATGGTAGAAATAAGCTAAGAACATATAGAATGTTAAATAATGCTTTTGAAACTGAAACTTATGTATAACAACATTTGCCTTTTCATTATCGAAGAACTATGACATTATTTAGATACGGTGTTGCACCGATAAGATTATTAACGGGGAGGTATGAAAATCTGTCAAAACATGAAAGAACTTGTTTTAACTGTACTGATACCGTAGAAGATGAGATACATGTTATGTTACACTGTCCACTCTATTAACAATTCAGGGAAGACCTATTTAAATCTGCGAGAACAATTATTTTGACAACTTATCTGATGTGGAGAAAATGCATAACGTTTTTGTTAATCCATTTTGACTAAGTTTACAGCCAAAGCATGCTTTAATATTTTAAAACATAGACGTCTTTTACTTTATTGTAGGTAACTTTTTATCTTTTATCTTATTTAGTAGGTATTTAAGATAAAGTGTTGTGAATCTTACAGATTGAATTTATTTTATTATTATACATTTTAGTATTTTATTTTTCTTAACTTTCATTAGAATTGTTGTAAAATCAGACTAGTGAATTGTTTTATATATAGACTTCTAGACACATTAGTAGGAATATGAAAGCTTAAAATGATAGATTCACAACATTCCAAATTCATTTTATTATAAGCGTGTATAGTATATAATCATTTAAGTATGTAAATATGATCTTTTATTATATTTACCTTTAGATGTAAGCTTTACTTACACGTCTCTTATAATTCTATATTGAATGGCATATGTACCTACTTTTACCAGTTTTATTCATTTTACTGTGATATATGTGTTGTACATGTAATGAGACGTAAATAAACTATTTGAATTGAATTTGAATTTGAATATTATTTCTGGTGTCCTATTAAATTTTCGATAATGTCTTTTGCTTTTTGGCAATAACTACAGTAAGTGTTATAATGATTTGATATTTTGTATAAATTAAAAAAAAAAACTCCTTTGTTTCACATTTAGTGATACTTACTTTCGGTGATACATATTTATAATGATTTTACTGGAATGTTGAAACAAACAGTCAAAATTAAAGAAAAATCATTCCGTGGCATTAAAGGTGCACATACCGGTAAAATTTAAACTTAAAGATTTTGTCAAATTTTGGATTGATTACATTGGAGAAGTGGACCGACAATTCTTGGGTAAACTTGAAATACATGAAATAGCTAACAACATTATTGTCATATTACTATTGGTTTTTATACTTACTAAAAGTGTGTTTATTACAGAGGACAGTGTGTGTTATATTTTGTCATATCATGGTATTGATTCCGGGTGAAACAATTGGAAGCTATTTATGTGAGGAGATAATGAGTTGTACAGAAACGGCCAGAAACTCAACCGGAAATGCTATAAACGACGCTCTTCAACAGTTCATTTGGGAAACCGGAAATGTCGATTGGTTGAAGTTCAATATTACAAAGAAAGAGAAACACTTTATAAATTCGTTAATTGGAACGGTAATGATTTAAAGTAATTAAATTTTGTTCTAGGTATCGGTTAATAAGCATACCTGTCATTTAAAGCAATATCTTGTTAACTTTGTCAAAATGATATTTATAACCGATGTATTACACAAGGTGTATATAAATATTAGATAAATAGTTTTACTTCATTTCATGATGTCTTTACCATGAATAACTAAAGTAAATTTGGTATTGTATTACTAAACAGTCCACTATTATACTGTAAAACATTAAATGATAATGTTTGATGAATGCAATCTAAAAGCAGTAAACATGAAAAACTCGTCTTTACAAAGAAAAAAAAAAACATTAAATGTTGTACAATGAAACTATTAAGTTAACGTTTAATTTGACATTTTGTTAGCTACACCACCGAAGAAAGCGACAAGTTAATACAACTGTACGTACAAGACGAGAGTACAGGATGTTGTCTCATACAGAAAGATTTAATTTTCATTCAGCGATCAAAAATATGAAAACGGTAAATAATGAAACATAATTTGATAATCATGATATGATTTTGATATGCTTGTTATTAAATACAATGTTTTAGAATAGAGTTGGTTTTTTCTGTTTTTTGTTGTTGTTTTTTATATAAAAACTATATCAACTTGAAATCAAAACATTATTTGTTAAACTAACTTGTTTTAAGTTACAAGATTATAAAGATGTTAAAAGGTTGACTTATCGTTTTTATACTGAGTACTAAGCATTGCTCGTATTTCAATTTAAGTTTAGGTTAGTGTTTGATAATACGTATTGTATTTAACAAAAATAACTGCGTGAACATTGTCACCGATAGCCCCGCTCTTTCGTAGTCTTCACAGAATATTGATATAACACATCTACAAGATGTCTACACCTAATCAAGTTTCTTACATGTCACATTTAGATAAGCTAAATAAATGGCCCTTTCAACATAGAATCAGGCACATTTTTAACTGAAATGTCTTTTTTTTAATGCGTTTATTTAAGGTCGCCGCCGGAAACCCATATGGACGACCGTACACTCAAGTCGGGCCATCCTAGAGCGTCCCACCGAGATTTTTTCGTTGATTTTTTCCCAGCTTTATTGGTGGAGGAAGACCCCAGGTGCCCCTCCAGGCATTATTTCAGGCACGAGCGGGCACCTGGGTAGAACCACCGACCTTCCGTAAGCCAGCTGGATGGCTTCCTCCCATGAAAGAATTCGACCCGAGTGAGGATCGAACCTACAGCGGTGAGGGACCTGTGATCTCAAGTCAGCGACCTTAACCACTCGGCCACGGAGGCCCCTTTGAAATGTCTTATTAAGATTGCCCCGAATTTATACCTTTGTCTACAGTAAGAATACGATGTTTAAAATGTGTGAATGAAAAAGCAGGGGAAATGATGCAATTAGCTAACAACAATGGAGTCAATGAAATGTGTACATTCTTTTAATGTGAGAAATACATTGTGAGCTTTTTAATTGATACAAATTCGTTGTTTGATGCAAGTTATTCACTAACATTTATTGATATGCTCCTTTGAAAAAGAGATCACTTTATTTTTTGTGGTAGTTTATTATTCCGCTTATGCCGTACCTACATATTTTACATTTCCTCTAGCTCCTCCCTAATATTAGGCATTATTGACATTACGAATGATAAAGTAAATTTTATTAAGTTAGTACACATTAACCAAAGTAAGACTTAGCAGAAATTTGAAAAATACTGCAATGTGATTGGACAAAAAATAATGTTGATCATTAATGTTTTTTATTTGTATACATGATCATAATTCTATCTTTATTTGTTATTAAATATCTAACGTTAATCTACTTTAATAGTTAGGTATTTTTCATGTTTCGTAATTTTGCTTTAACATTGTCAACAAGTTTTATGTTCTTATGTTCCAGTCTGGTCAATACGATATGTTAGCTAATATACATCGCGGTATTGTTGTGACGTCGGCACATGGTGGATCAAACTTTCCTGGTTGGCACAGGGTCTATCTTTTATTGTATGTCCATTTTTATATTATTTCTGATTATTTGATCATGTCATTCTTTGATATACTTTTGGTTTGACCTCAAGGATAAAACGTTGGAAATACAATGTGTTGGTATTAAAAAAGAAAAGATGTCAACATTAAAAAACGCCTTTATATCCGAAGTCAATTAGACTTCCTTGAGTTATTCCGGGCACATATGTAAAACCTCCGACGTTCCGAGAGCTAGCTGGATAGCTTCCTCCAATGAAAGAAATCACAGTCCCTGGCTATATTCGAATCAACAGCGGGTATGGTTATAAACCTTAACCACTCGGATATGGGCGCAACTCAGTTATTACAAAAACGACTTACCTTTTTAAATATTATATTATTTTCAACATGTGAACTCTTTGAAATAGACTTATGTATATTTGAATTTTGACAATTGCAGTAATTAGTTCCAGGGATAACTATGAAAATGTTATAAAGTTATTATTCAAAAGATATGTTTAACGCTTTAGATTTGAGGAGGCTTTGGTGCGTATCAATCCGACATTATCAATTCCCTACTGGGATTCTACCATGGACTTTGACATGGACAACCCGTCAAATTCTATTGTCTGGTCAGCTTCTTTCTTTGGCAACGGCGATGGATTTGTAACATCAGGCCCTTTTGCGAATTGGATGACTCCTGTTGGTAGACTGACTCGTAATATTGGAGCTTCAGGTTCGTTGTTCTCTAAACAATCTATACGTTCTTTACTAAGTTTATGTCGTACAAGGGATATATTGGATCCAACTGCACAACCGCAATTTAATTTAGATTTAATACAAGGCGGAATACATGTATGGGTAGGTGGCCAGATGTCAGGACTGAATACTGCGGCTTATGATCCAGTATTCCTTCTCCATCATGCATTTGTAGATTTAATCTGGGAGTTGTTTCGAAGAAGACAGGAGCAGTATTGTGGCGTTGATCCGGCCTCCGATTACCCTTCATCGGTTGGAATGCATGCACCCGAAAGAATGATGACTGGTTTCACGACGTACAGGAATATTGACGGATATAGCAATTTCTGGACAAGATTTATTTTTAGATATGCACCTTCACCTTCTTGTTCCACTGCACGATCATTTTGTGACAGTCTTTATTTAAATTGTGACACTTCACGTCAAAGATGCATATCACTTTCCCGGACAAGACTTGGTGAATCCGGCACAAATTTTGCATCAATGCTGCGTGCACGTGCTGAAGAGTCTACTCTAAATATTGGCCCTCGTTTTAGATCACCACCTTCGGAGAGAAGAACGCAAGATTTTCAGATGAGAAGACGCCGATCTGGCTTTAACTTGATAGGTACATCAAGTAATCCAAGATCAATTCAATCGATAATGCGAGCTCATGCGCAGGTAGCAAGTATAAATGTAGGTCCTCGTTTTGCAGCGCCTCCGTCGGAACCAAGGACACAAGAAGCACGATTTGGTTTTCTGAGTAGACGATTCTAAACGAATTTTATCGACGAACATATGTAGCTATTCATGTATTTACAAAGTTGTTTTACGTGACAAATGCTACAAATTAACATAATGTCTATCATAAATGTATTTAATCTTTTTAAGACGTATGTCGTTTTAAAGATACTAGATTTAAGTTAATCTCGCCTAATTTCCCTTCTAATCGTGAAAATGCTTAAAATTGTTACTAAGCACTTAAGACAGTTTCGCACATCATTCTTTTATGTTTTGGGTTAATTAAATACATATACACAAGATCACTAACCTGAAAATCAGCATGTAAGACTTTCCCATTTTTATAAGATATAATATAATTTAGTCTACATTACGTATAACTTTTTAATGCAGAGAATAACTTGAATCAAGGATGAACAGAATGCAATTTAAACATTAGATTTTTATTCAAAATGTTTATTTGACAATGTAAAGTTTTAACTCGGCTGACATCAAATGATGATCCTGAAATAAATGAAATTGTTTATTACGATTTATCATATGCAAAGTTTATGTGTACTATTTCTTTAAGTCTAATGCCTAAATTATTGAACTAACAGTGGCAAAATATTTCGGTGTTTTACTGAGCTATATATCAAGGATTACAACCTTTTAATCATGTCTTTCGATAAAACATTTATTGCAATCTTTGCTCCGACACATGAGTCAAATGCTAAGTATTAAACTTTGTCTTACTGAATTAAGACAGTCGTTAATCTTACTAATTAAATCCATAGTAACAAATCTGACAATGGTTTGGGCATATATATTATTTCTGAAAAATCTTACATCTGATTACCTGTTGAATTAATTACAGAATCCGCACGTTTTCTGACACCTTTCTTTTGCAATGCTATATCCACTTCCGGATGTGCTTGAACAGAACCCGAATCCTTTCCATTCTACACAACTAAATCCCTGCACCTCGTTATCCGAACATAGACCGGCTGCATCTGTGACCATTGCTAGTAATAATGATGGTAAATCGGTTGACTATGACAAAGCTTCCATCCTACTTCTAGTATATATTACTCTAACACCGTAATCAGGCTGTACAATATACATAACGTTTTTTACAAGAACCCGTTGATTAAATACGTTAATCGTTATAAACACACGTAATGCATCTACCATCTTTATTTCAAATAGGCTAAGTATTTCAGTAGGGGAGGTTTTGAGACTAGGAAAAACATGATTATGTCTAATAAGTCAGACTTAGCTGTATTTTCTTACATGACTGAGAATCAAACAAAACGTTTATCGTTTGTCAACTTATACAATATATGATTAATGTCTTGCTTAATTTGAACCAAATAACTGGTCTATAATAGATTTTAATGGGAATTAATAATTTTGATATCTGCCAGCCATTGCTAGAAACCGGTGACTATAGACAGGGTGTATTTATATTTCTTGCATACTGGTCTTGCATATTGATTAGTTTTACATATACTGGAAATTTCGTATGACATTAGTAGCCAGATGAGCCAAACTAAATACTGTAAGAAAAAAGTTAAGCATAAAATCTTTTAGTCACTGCGACTAAGCATCTTAAACATGGTAGAATATGGTGGGATATGCAAGAACAGATATCTGACATTTGTTTTCGGTTCAGATTGAAATATCCGACCCTTGGTTATCCGTCTATGGGCGACAACACGGCAAGCCTCGTTACCGAATAATGGGTGGGTACCCTCAGAACAAATACTTCTGTCCTGACAGATATTATCAGTTATACAGAAGTACCTACGTTTAACTGTAGTGAGTGGTGCTCTAGTAGTTTCCCAACTTGGATGGCAGAATCCGCAAAACAGTGGACATTTTTCATATGCTAAAGTGTGTGCCAGAGACGATGGATCGGTGCAGAAGTTGAATTTTGTTAATTCGGCACATTTGAATGATTCACTTTCCGTGTCATGACAGTCAGGATCTGTGAGGAATGAAAATTGTAATACGGTATATGTTAGTCATCAGAACACAACACAACCCTTTGATCGATACTAAACACTGAGTATATAATACAAGTAACTCGATTTTTGAGCGCGATAAATTGCAAACAATGATGAAAAGGACAAATATTTTAGCGACTTTTAGCTTATTGTTACGACCTGTTATGGCCGTGAATAAGAGAAATGTTAATGAAATAAATTAAATGTACATTATTAGCAAAATTAAAGAAAATATATAGAATAGTTTAAACTGGAACGAAATAAAAAGTAAAAATTATTTTGCATAAGTCATCACGAAATATTTTTTACATTTAAGCTCGTATCAAGGAATGAATAAATATTTCTGGTTTACACAGACATGATTATTTTGAGAAAAGGTAAAAATAGTTTGCATATCAGAATTCCGTTAGTGAAACTTCGTCTTGCATAGTGCCAGATGAGTTGCGTGCTTCAAAACGATGTCAGTTTAGAGCATTTTATAAATGAAATGCGTTAAAATGGCGTCCTATCGCCGCGGATTTAAAAATAAAGCTGCGTGATATCATGAATGAAGTTATGAAATTATACATATATTATTAATATTTGCATTGTTAGAAGTAACATTACAGTTCTTTATACTCTCTGACCATCATTACCTACGTAACGTCAAATATTTCGTGCAATTTAAAACATTTACCATAATTCACTGGCTTTGGTGTCGTCGTCGTTCTTGTTGTGGTTGTTGTCGTCGTCGTCGGAACGAGGCGGTAGTTTGCTAGAAAGGCAAATCAATTCGAAAGAACTTTTAACTCAGTTTGAAGTCATTTCTTTAAAATTAAAGATAAGTGCCATGAAACCTCAAACCCATCAATGATATATGAATATATATGAATATACAAAACAAATTTTAATGTGTATTTAAAATTTATTTGTTTTTAAAATAGACATTCAATGAATGAAGTATTTAGGTAGTTTTAGCATATAATCGTTCATGAAAAAGTTGATTTTTTACTTTTTAAATAACTTTGGCAGTAACCCATGTACAAATTTTAATATTATTCACGTTTATTCTTGAATGACCCTTCTAAGGATAAAATCGCTGTAGATCGGAGCATTTTAGCTTTGTTATATTTTGTAAAAAAAAAACAACAAGAAAAACCCACAAAACAATATTTCATTCATTGCCTATCAAGTTGACTTAACGTTGAGATTTATTTAGCATTTCTGGAAGAAAATTTATTAATTAACAGCAATTCACACGTCATTTTAAGTCATGAATTAAAAGAAATATTGGTAATACATTGATATATAACTTTGTAATATTTATGATAATACAAAATTCCATCCTGATTGTAACAAAATCCTTTTTCTAGAATTGTTCCAAGACATTTTTACACCATAAAACATTCATTTTTACTCAGTTTTAAAGTGTGATGTCACTGAAAACAACGTTTTATAACATAAATACAACAATGTATTGCAGAGCTGAATATTATGTATAAGTAACTAGAATTGTGTTTACAAATAATCAGTCAATATGTTTGAAGAGAGAAAAAGTATATTTCACAGTTTGTACACTCACAGCAACCGTCTTTATTACAACTAGTACCCGCACTACAACATTCATGGCATACAAGTTGACCCTCCTCATGGGAATGTCTGCCTCTCTTCCCTATCACATGTATTGAAGAAATTGGAACATGTACTTCTGGGCAATCCTAAACAACAAAAAGTTCATAAAGGGTGTGTACACAACCCTAATTATGGTAATCACTTTCATACACGTGTGCACCTTTCATTCTGGACAAACTACAGAAAATAAGAACCCAATTGCAATTGAAAAGGTTGCATTGAGCCTGTTCATGAACGATACTGTCAAACTACCGTCCACGCTCCCTACCACCAGCTTTATCAGAATTCAACATTTATACATAAAATGGTAAAAATTGAATTTAGAATCATCTGTTGATGTGTTCTTATGGCCGTTGTCATGGAACCTTCAATGTGACACTGTGTTATTCCATGAAAAGCCACAAGTAATAGAAAACGTGTGCCTTGAACAAGAAAAAAATGGGCGCAAGTTAACAAAATTGAATTGTGGAAAGGGATCAGAGGTTATGAAGCCTGCATATCGCAAATGATACGTCAAAAGACGAAGTTATAAATAAGGCAACATATGCTAGGGGGGATTCAACATTTATATTTATGTAGCAATATTGGAACCACTCAACTAAAAAATGCCAAATAGTTTAAGCTAAACTAATAGTTAAAACCATTCATCGTTTTAGGGGAAATTTAAAATAATGAGTATATCTACTGACTGCAAACAGTGTAGACAATGCTTAGACAGCTGCATGGGTATAATCCCAGCAGCATTTGTTTTTGTCATGTGTTTTCTTTTGCAAAAGTATACATTAAATCTGTAAAAAAGCAAAATTTAAACTTGACATAGACTGCCATGGTTAATTAAGGTCAATGTCGTATTAGAATAATAAGAATAATTCAACATATCACTTCTGTTGTACATGTTGTTTTGTTAAAAAATAATCAAATCTGTAAATAAACTACAAAGTCATGTCAATCTTACAAAATCTCAATAGTTTGGCTTTCACAGGTCAAAGACAATAAGATTCAAGGTCATACTTGAAGTTTTCAACCATAAGGGTTCTTTTGTACAAGTATAAATAGAATCCGTAAATAAATAAACAAGTAATGACAATATTGGCTAAATTCAATAGTTTGACCTTGACGACAAAGATTACTTATAGGTGAAACTCAAATTTGAATTACTTAACATGTCAGTTAAATAAATGTTCCTTTGTCCCAGTATAAATCAAATTCATAAAAAAAGTTTTGACCAATTGTAGCAAAATTCACTACATTTAGTGTCAAGGTCAAAAAGGCCGAGATCAAGCTCAAATTAAATCAAATCTCTTTAAATGACTTGTCCCCAAGTATGGGCACAATTTGTTCATTACTTACAAAGTTATAGCCAATCATAGCAAACAAAAACAACAACAAAAACAAACATGGGAATTTACAATTATTTGATTTTACAGTTCATGTTACCAAAGGGAGGTAACTAGAAATTTATTTTTATAGTCTAAGTAAAAAGTTTCAATAAGAAATGAATGCATATATTTGAATGATTACAATTAATATGGACGGATATTTGCAGTACATATTTTACATATTCTTTGATGTTTAGAAATTGTTTAAGAAGCATAATCATATACATATATATAAATGTCACTTAATTAAGTGTGGTAACAATCTTAATTACAACATTCTGAATAGAAGAATAAAAATTTTATACAACTGACATTATTTTATATAACTTTTATGTGTTCTTAGATATACATGTACTATCTAGAAAATACCTTTGCTAATAATCTTCTAAACCGGATTTTGATTAAATTTAACCACAATATTATTTCTATAGAGAATTTTTTGAGCTACTTTGCTACCTCAGTATTTTAATTACTTCAGTAGATTCATTCAATTTTTAAAATACAGTATTTGGTCACATGTACAAAAGGTCCAAACTTGAAGGCTGAAATTAATCCCAAAGCCTGTATTCTACTTTTGCATCAATCTAAAATCATTTATAAAACTTTTATGATGGACAAACTAAGAATCGTGTACAGTTTGGTCAAAATGTACCATGCTGTAGAGGTTATGCTGTTTAAAGAAACTGAATACAAGGGTATTTTAGATTTTTAGAATTTTACATGTAAATAGTAAGTCAACCTTTAGTCTCTTGTAAATCTTATAGATTGGCAATGTACATTTATATTGTATTATTCCCTGCGGTCTGGAGACTGGAGGTTATTGGTACGCGTTTAACTTTTGAGGCATGGAGGAGCACGTGACCTGTTTTCGGTACATGGAGGAGCATGTGATCTGTAAACCGTATATGATTGGTTAATTGACCTTTTCGAAAACACAGCTAAATACCGTTTGCCGGTACGTTACGGATTTACCTGTAGGGAATAAGTCCGAATTACACCTAATTGAGAACAAAAATCTATTACGTGATATTTCTAATTTTCTATTATCATTTTACCGTTTAAGGTGGAAAAACTTGAATGATGTGTTTGAAAATTATCAATGTTTCTTTAATATATATCTCAAATTTTACAAACAATAAATTGTTTATACTGAAAATCTGCAAAATGAAGATATTCGTAGTGGCATCTGCCATAATAAAAAGAGATATTTTCTGCGTAAACTTGTGTGTTTACTTTATTTATTTTTTGCTCGGAATTATTCATAAAATGGTAGGCCTATTTAATTAATAATTTTCTTAAAAAGAAATAATTGTTTTATGTTCGACCTTATCCGGTCTTCAACGGTCACATGTAGTTTCCAAAGACCTTCTTCTATATTGTTCGATTATTGTCAACTATATTCCTGTTACAAAAGTGTATTTACAACCCCCCCCCCCCCCTAAATAATGTTGAAAATAGTTAAATGAAATATCTTTATATCATTAAAATGTTCACCGCAGGAAACCATTTTACTTGTATATTTTATATACAATGTATGTATTTTAACTGTGAACATTAATGAGACTGTAATAAACAATAAATTAATAAATAAATAATACAGGATCTTTAAGTAAGTTGTGATTGAGTATGACGACAAAACAGCCATAAATAACTCAATTATAGCCAGTTTTCGCAAAAAAAAAATCAATCAAACTTCAGAAACTTGGCCTACAATGTTAAGGTCTTTGATGAGTGAATGTTATAGTCTTCTAAAATGTCTTGTTCAAAGGATTGTTGTATTCATTGGTAACAAAGTTATAGTCAGTTATAGCAAATATCAAGCAAAATAAAATAGTTTGACCTTTCAAGTCAATGTCATTGATGAGTGAAGGCTATAATCATTATAATCTACTTGAATGTCTTGTCCGAAGGATTGTTATGTCCAAGTATAAATACAGTCCATTAAGAAAAAAAATAATGACCATTATTAAAGTTTTTGTATGCTGCATAGATATCTGGTTACTGACAATGTATATATGAAATACTGTCAAAGCTATTGGTTCGACATGGTATATATCATTTTCATGTAGATGGACATAATCAAAAGGTCGTCTTGACACCGGTGAACAGCCATATCAAAGGAACTCAACTAAGGTCCAAAAGCCTAAAAAATGAAATTTATATTTTTCACAATGATCAGCCGGAGCACTTACAACAGAAGGATATGCAGAAGATATAAATTAGAGATGTGCTATTCTGAGCCCGATTTGAGTGAAAGGCTTTGCAACGCTTTTCAATTTTGGGTCATTTTTCACAATAAGAATAATTATACTGGAGAAACGAAGTGAGCGAATGATCTGAAATGTTGCGCACAATTTATTGGTTTAGACGTTAATCAAATGGAACATTTATCTTGAAAAATATTTCCAGTCTCTTCATGTCAAAAAACCTCAATTGAGTCCCTTTAACTATTCTGTCTACCTGTAAATGTGATTGGAAGACTTTTTTCCTATCTGTAAATTTGATTAGAAGACTTTTTTCTTAAGCGTAAATTTGTTGACATGACATTTTTTTTACTACCTGTTAATTTGATTGGGAGAACGTTTGTCCTACCTGCAATTATCATGTGAGCGCTTTTGTCCTCTGTGGTATTTTAAGACGGGAGGGCTTTCATCCATTTTCAAAATAGACATGATAGTATATTTGAATGTTTTACAAAATTTTAAGAGGGTTCAGATGCTAAAAACTTTTTTTATCTTAATATGGTTCCGAATTTAATTCTAATTTGTCATATACATGAACTGTCTTTTGCTCCTTTAGCTCTATTGGTTATGAATATAATTATAGTGATTTAATATTTGGTCTCTTTTGTTTACATTTTACTACATTTACGGCACATTTCTGCAAATTAAGTACCACTTCCCCCAATGAAATAAACATACAGGCAAAAAGATGTGAGTCTAGGCTAGTACATTTGAGTCACAATGTTCACATTTCTCTCTAATGGCGTACACCAGCATTTTACTATTGTTAATATCAACTCAGGAAATTAAGATCATTGTACTGACACATTTTGGCTGACACATACTCTTTATGTACTAAATCTACTGTATATCCCCCCCCCACACACACACACAATCTCACAATTCAGTGTTATTTTAATGTGATTATTGTGTACTGTAATGCACTAGTTTCTCGACTTCACATATTTTCTATTGTATAGAGCACAATAGAACCAAAACAGGTCAGTATATATTTGCACACCTGTTAAGCGGTCGGTAAGTAATAGTTACCGTACGAGGAATAGGTCTGCATAGTATTTACAGACCCGGGTGGCGATTTGAAGACCGAGAGAGCGTAGCGATCGAGGTTTTTAAAAGGCCACCGGGTCTGTAAATACTATGCAGACCTATTCCGAGAGCGGTAACTATCTTACCTACATGCTCTTTTGTTTTTCTATCCATACATCAGTTTTTAGCTCAGTATTTATTAATATTACTCACAAGAAACATATTACTTATGTACTTTATCATGTTTAAGAAAGCATTCCAAAGCCAAGCAAAGATACCATCCGCTACGCTCTTGTAATTCATTCGTTCACAAATCAGGTGTTATTTGAATATTCTCGTGATTTTCGTGGTGTTTCATTAGGTAATGTACTTGTTGAGTTGAGTCACAGAAAATGAAAACAGAACTTGTCGAGTAGGGAAAGGTAAGATCATTATTTT